TGTCAAATAAATAAATAAATAAAAATCTTTTAAAAAAGAGAGAAAACTGCTAGGAGTAGAATGGCCGGGTTGTATGGAAAAAATGAGTTTAAATTTTTTTTAAGATTTTATTTCTTTATTTGACAGAGAGAGCACAAATAGGGGGAGTAGCAGAGGGAGAGGGAGAAGCACAGACTCCCCACTGAGCAAGGAGCTCCATGTGGAGCTCTGTCCCAGGACCCCTGAGATCATGACCTGAGCTGAAGGCAGATGCTTAACCAACTGAGCCACCCAGGCACCCTAACTTTTTTTTTTTTTTTAATGAAAGCACCAAACTGATTTCCAGTGTGGGTACTACATTTCCACAACAATGTGTGAGAGTTCCAGTTTCTCGACATCTTTATTAAAACTTGTTATTGTCTGTCTTTTTTATTATAGTCATTCTGATAGGTATGTAGTGGTTTCTCATTGTGGTTTGTATTTGCATTTCCCTAATGACTGATGATCCTGAGCATTGTTTCACGAACTTATTAACCATTAAAATATCTTATTTGGTGAGACATCTATTCAGATACTTCTTAAAATTGTATTATTTTTTTTCTCATTATTGAGTTGTAAGAGTTCTTTGCGTAGTTCTGGATTCAAATCCTTTATCGGATAAATGATTTTTAAATATTTTAAAATATTTCTCCCAGTCTGTGTTTTGTCTGTTCTTGCAGTAATTTTTTAAAGATTTCTTTATTTATTTTAGAGCAAGCAAGGGGAGGGGCAGAGAGAGAGAGAGAGAATCCTGAAACAGACTCCATGCTGAGCACGAAGCCCAATTTGGGACTTGATGCTAGGACCCCAAGATCATGACCTGAGCCAAAAAGAGAAAGCAGCTTAACTGACTGAGCCCCCCAGGTGCCCCTGTTCTCTCAGTATTTTGAAGCACGAAAGGTTTTAATTTTGATAAAGTCTAATTTATCATTTTTTTTTCTTTTAGTGTCATATCTAAGAACTCTTTGTCTTACTCAAGGTTATGAAGTTTTTTTTTTTATGTTTCCTTCAAACACTATCAGTTGCTTTTAGTTTTGAAAGACAACTCTAGGAGCACCTGGGTGGCTAAGTCAATAAGCAACTGCCTTGGCCCACGTCATGATCCCGGGGTCCTGGAATTGAGCCCTACATCCTATGGGCTCCCTGCTCAACGTGGAGTCTGCTTCTAGCTCTCCCTCTGCATCTCTCCCTGCTCATGCTCTCTCTCTCTCAAATAAATAAATAAAACCTTTAAATAATAAAAGACAGTTTTATTTGTTTGTTTAACAAACTCTTAATGTTAATTAAATTCATGTTTTAATAAACATAAAGAAGTGTTTCTACTGTCCACACTATGTATATATATTTTTTTAATCACCTAGAGTCCAGTTTTATTATAAGTCCATCTTTCCTAAGGTAGCTAGATAACCAGTTTGTTGAACAGTTGGTCACAGGATAAAATAACTCCTCTTTCTTCCACTTCCCCATAGTGTATCAAGACATTCCCCTTGATACCATGCTTAAGGGAAGGTTATTTCCTTTTGACTTCTATTCTGCAGGTCAGGTCACCTGCCAATGGCTGCGTGGAGCTAATGCCTTCCAGTCTGAACACCTCAACTTGCAGAAAGCACGTTCTCTCACTTTCCATCCACAAACCTCATCTTATAGTCTTATGATAGCTTTCTTGCTATAAACTCCTCTGGATTTTTTGCTAAGTTGTTACAAAGGAATAAGAATTTTGTGACCGGCATCATCTTTTCTTTAAGGACACCTATCTAAATTGTAAGCTCTATAAAATGTCCAAGGCCCATGTCCAAAGCAATTTTATTTCCCTCACTGTTCCTAGCATAGTGCTGAGTTGTTAGGAAGTGCTCAATAAATATTTTTTATTATATCTATATAATAAAAGGTAAAATGTTGTGTATTTCAATTTAATAATGGCATTAATGTGATTTGTATCCCACTGTTTTTCTAAGTCATCAAATGAATAGCCGTTCAATTCAGATTTTTTGCTCTGTCCTTAAATAATTCTCAGCATGAGTACTGTGGCCTCTTGTATTTGATGTTTCACAATAAATTTACTAGCAAACATTAGAGCTTATATGTCAGAGCAGGTATCATTCCCTGTACCATGTGCTTTGTTTTAGGAATTTTATCTTAACCATTTTTAAGTGTATAGTTCGGTGGCATTAAGTACATTCATACTGTTTACAAGCATCACCACCATCCATCTTCCCAAATTGTACTGTACCCATTAAACAACAATTCCTGGGGCACCTAGCTAGCTCAGTCCATAGAGCATGGATCTTGGGGTCATGAGTTCAAGCCCCATGTTGGGCACAGAGCTTACTTTAAAGAAAAAAAGTCCCCATTCCTCCTCCCTCCCCCACCCAGCCCTGGCAACCACCATTCTACTTTCTGTCTCTGTAAACTTAAATAATCTAGGTACCTCATATAAGTGGAATCATATAGTATGTCACCTTTTGTAATTGGCTTGTTTCACCTGGCATAATGTCTTCGAGGTTCATCCATATTGTACCTTATGTCAGAATTTCCTTCCTTTTAAAGGGTGAATCATATTCTATTTTGTTTATACATTCATCCATGTGAATGTATAAATGAAATGTGAAATCCCTCACATTTCAACCACTGCATGTCTTTTGATGGAGGGGAGAGAAGATGGTATTAGTGTATCCATCCACAGGCAGGTGATATTATAGAGCCTGTAGTTCTGGTCCAAGAGAATTCTCCTCTCCAAGGTTGATGCTAGCCTAGTGTTTCCATTAGATAGCATACTAAGGCATTCATATAAGGAATAAGTCCTATCTCCGGATACACTAAGTCAAGGCCAAGGAGAATGGCCTCAAGTTAGGGAAAAACTATTTACTATAAGCCTTCCAGTTCACTGCCAAAAATTATGGAACTTGGCACATAGTAGGTAGTCCATAAATGTTTGAATGCATAAATACAGATGTACCACTGTGCATAATTGCCAGAAACTGGTAACAGTCCAAACAGAATGGATTTTAAAAATGTGGTATATTCACACAACAATAAAAATGAGTTAACTGCAGAATACAAAACATAGACAAATATTAAAGAGAGAAGCCATATATAATAGGATGCATACCGTGTGATTCCATTTACGAAGTTCAAAACAAGCATAATTGAACTGTTTCTGTTTGAGGATGCATAAATAGATAGTAACACTATTTTTTTTTTAATATTTTATTTATTTATTTATTTATTTGACAGAGAGAGAGAACACAAGCAGGGGAAGCAGCAGGCAGGGGGAGAGGGAGAAGCAGGCTTCCTGCTAAGCAAGGAACCCACCACAGGGCTCCCATCCCAGGACCCCGGGATCACAACCTGAGCCGAAGGCAGATGTTTAACCAACTGAGCCACCCAGGCTCACCCGATAGTAGCACAATTTTTTAAAAAGGCAAAGAAGGCGATGAATCCGCTAAAAGTCAGAATAGTGATTAACACTGAGTAAAGGGGCTTATGACTGAGACGGGATATCTCGAGGGGAGACCCAAAGGCTTCAGGGATGCTGGTGATAGTCTGTTCCTTGACTTCAGTGGAGGTTCTCTGGGTGTTCATTGTACAGCAGCTTCTTGTACATTTATATTTTATGCAGCTTCCTATATGGTCATCATAGTCCACAATAAGAAGTTTTTTAGCTCCTATTATTCTAGGGAAAATTATAAAAGATAGTGTGACATAATCACACATACAGTATTTTAGCTCTTCATTTGATTGATTAAGTGAGAAAGAGACCGTTGACCCAGTTTGGAGAGTACCAGAAAAGAACTATATACTGTCAGTAATGAAGTTTCCTTATTTGTAAGTTCCCCTTGTGGATTGCAGGGCTCTCTAGTCTGGGGAAATGGAGATTGGAAGAGGGACAGCGCTCAGTAGAGCCCAGTCAGCATGGGCAATGTTAAGGACCTGATGCTTCATTAAAAGTCATTCACCTCAGCTTCTCTCCAGTGTTACTGACCTCTTAGGAATTGTATTCATTTCCATCTCAGCGTGATGTGTGAGAAGTGGGAAATAGTCAAATAGGAGCAATCCTCACCCTGTAGGGAGACTCCTTTGCCCCTCGTTATACAGCTACTCTCTCTTGAGCCATCAGAGAAAGTCAAATCGGAGATCAGCAAATCCTAGGAGAAGCTTTTGAACAGAGCTTCTTCATTCAGAGAATTTTATCCAATTAAAGTTAAGTGGCAAATTGCTTCGTTAGTAGCTTTTAGATTGACATAATGAACAGCTTCCCAAGTCAAAGCGTTCGCCTGTGTATCACTGACTCTGGTGTTTTTTAATTCACTTAAGCCTCAAAAAGCTTAGCTGGCCTAAAGGTAGATTATTAAAATGGAAGTCCTGACTCCAGTCCAACTTGTTAAGGTGTATAATGTGTAATAAATAGATCAAGAGGCTGAAGCTCATTTAGGAAATGTCATAATAGATACTGTGACTAATTGGAAGGCACATTTAGAAATATTTTCATTAGGGGCGCCTGGGTGGCTCAGTGGGTTAAGCCGCTGCCTTCGGCTCAGGTCATGATCTCAGAGTCCTGGGATCGAGCCCCGCATCGGGCTCTCTGCTCAGCAGGGAGCCTGCTTCCTCCTCTCTCTCTGCCTGCCTCTCTGCCTACTTGTGATCTCTCTGTCAAATAAATAAATAAAATCTTTAAAGAAAAAAAAAAAGAAGAGAAATATTTTCATTAAAGATATCCAGCCATCCCTGTAAACAGCTTCATGTCAGATTTTACATGGGAGGGGAAAGCAGTTAGCCAGCTTGCCTTTCTCAGGGTAAAATGCTAGAGTTGTGTTCCCTTGTTGTATACAAATTAGGCATTTCTTGATGAATTTATGCAGTTTCTGTTCCAAACATAGCATAAATTTCTGACTTACAGACATGAATAACTGCCTACTTCTTTGCATTTTGAGCTGCTTTTTGTTAAAGGTTCCTGCCTGATCTTGCTGTCTTTCTCCTTTCAGGGTCTGACATTTCAGGAAGTGGAGAACTTCTTTACTTTCCTAAAGAACATTAATGATGTGGACACTGCACTAAGCTTTTACCATATGGCTGGGGCATCTCTTGATAAAGGTAATGAAACCCAAAAATGTTTTCTTGAGGGTACACACATTGAATCTGTAATCTGTTAAGTGACTACCCTTCCTTAACAGTAATAGGAGTTTCTCTTGACATTATTTTTTATTTGTTTCCTTTTGTTGCCATTGCCTGAGCCTTGCATTTCACCCTGAGTGTCCAAGCTTAGCAGATGTATTTTCTTGTGTCAAAGGCTGTGGTCAAGGCAGACGCCCATCTTTAGAAACTGGGACTTCTCTCATTGGAGCCAGAGTCATGACATATTTAATATGAAGCTAAAGTCAGTATGCATTTCAATTCATTCTTTGGTGGGAAGCAGTAGTTTGGTTTATTTCCTGTGTTCACATGGTTTAACACGGTTTTTTGCTTTGTTTTTTAGATAAAATCATGGCTCAGAACAGCTTACTCACCCCCCCCCCCCCAAACTGGCTTACTTCCTATAAATTCAGTGCGACTTAGTACAGGCAATGTCAGAGAGCTGAGGAAGTGAAAACATTATTTTTCCCCCAACATTTTATTATGAAAAAGTTAAAACATTGAGAACAGTTGAAGTAATTATTCAGGGAACATCCATATATCCACTTCAGTTAACATTTTTCTGTATTTCCTAGATAGTATCTTTGTGTATGTATTCATCCCTCTATCAGTCTTATTCTTTGATGTACTCAAAGTAAGTTGTAGACATCGGCATGTCTAAATACTTCAGCATGAATACTAACTGAAGTCCAGTATTTTGTTTAAAGTTCCTTTGTGCCCCTTCATAGTCTTTTTCTGCCCCCATGCATGGAGACAACCTTAATCTGTGTATTTTTCTACCATAGATTAATTTTGTTTGTTCTAGAGCTTCTTACAAATGGAATTATCCGATGTATAATCTTGTAAAGTTTCTCTCAGCGTGTTTTTGAGATCCATCCATATTGTCATGGGCAGAGTAGTTTGTCCCTTTTTTGAGTGGTAATTTGTTGGGAGTACTGCTCCACAATCTGTCCATTCTTCCATTGGTTACCTTACCTGTTCCCAGTTACTGGCTATCTTGAATAAAGCTGAGTATCCTTGTGTTAGTCTTTTTCAGGACATGTCTTGCCATTTCTCTCAGATAAATCCCTACGAATGAATCGCTGGGTCCAGGGGAAGGTACTTAGTTTTTTTTTTTTAAACTGTCATTCCCTTTTGCACGGTGTTTTTATATTCCCACCAGCAGTGACAACAGTTCGTGTTGTTCCACATTCTTGTCCACAGGTTGGCAGTATTCTGGAGTGTAGAGAAAGACATCTCATTTTGTTTTTCTTTTGTATTTTCTTGATGACTTCTACTATTGAGCAGCTCTTCTGTGTTCTTATCATTCAGATATCTTTGGTGATGTGTCTATTGAAATCTTTTGCCATTTTTATTAGTTGCTTGTCTTATGATTCACTTATTGAAATTCTTTTTTTTTTTTTTAAGATTTATTTATTTATTTGACGGAGAGAGAAGGATCACAAGTAGGGAGAGAGGCAGGCGGTGGGGGCGGGGAGCAGGCTCCCTGCTGAGCCCGATGCGGGGCTCAATCCCAGGACACTGAGATCATGACCTGAAGGCAGAGGCTTAACCCACTGAGCCACCCATGTGCCCCTATTGAAGTTCTTGATACATATTAGGATAGTAGTGCTTTATCAGTTACATGTATTATGAATATTTTTCTAGACTGTGACTTGCCTATTCACTTTCTTTTTTTAAGATTTTATTTATTTGACAGAGATCACAAGTAGGCAGAGAGAGGGGGCAGTAAGCAGGCCCCCTGCTGAGCAGAGAGTCTGATGTGGGGCTCGATCCCAGGACCCTGAGATCATGACCTGAGCTGAAAGCAGAGGCTTAACCCACTGAGCCACCCAGGTGCCCCGCCTATTCACTTTCTTAAAGGTCTCTTTTTCATTTGCAGAAGTTGGTTTTTTTTTTTTTTTTTTTTTTTTAATTTATTTGACAGAGATCACAAATAGGCAAAGAGGCAGGCAGAGAGAGAGGGATAAGCAGGCTCCCTGCCTTGGAATCATGACCTGAGCCGAAGGCAGAGGTTTAACCCACTGAGCCACCCAGGTGCCTCATTTGCAGAAGTTTTTGTCTGAAGTCTAATTTATTGAATTTTTATTTTTTAATCATTACTTTCTGCTCCTAATAAAACCTTTGTCTAGGGCACCTGGGTGGCTCAGTGGGTTAAAGCCTCTGCCTTCGGCTCAGGTCATGGTCCCAGGGTCCTGGGATCGAGCCCCACATCGGGCTCTCTGCTCAGCGGGGAGCCTGCTTCCCTTCCTCTCTCTCTGACTGCCTCTCTGCCTACTTGTGATCCCTGTCTGTCAAATAAATAAATAAAATCTTTAAAAAAAAAAAAAACCTTTGTCTACCCCCAAACTGTGCAGATAGTCTCCTGTATTTTCTCCTACAAGCTTTAGCGCTTCAGCGCTTACAAGTCTTATATGATCCACTCAAATTAATCTCTGTAGATGGTGTGAAGGAGAGTGTTCCACATAGATACCCAGTTGAACCAGCACCATTTGCTGAAAAAGCCCTCCCTTGTTTTGCTTTGGCACCTTTATCAGAAATCAAATTACCTTTTAAGTGTAGGTCTGTTTATGAGCTCTCTGTTCTGTTACACTTCTCTATAATGTCTCTACCCATGCTCAGTCTGATTACTGTAGCTTTATAGGAAGTCTTGAAGTGTCAGGTATTATTAATCTCTCAACTTCCTTCTCCTTTTTCAAGATTGCTGTAGATATTTTAGGTCCTTTGTATTTCCACTTAAATTTTAGAATCAGCTTGTCGCTTCCTATGTAAAAAAGAGGTGGGATTGGGGCGCCTGGGTGGCTCAGTCAGTTAAGCATCTGCCTTCAAGTCAGGCCATGATCTTGAGGTCCTGGGATCAAGCCCTATGTCGAACTTCTTGCTCAGTTGGGAGTCTACTTCTCTCTCTCTCTCTTTCTGTCCCTCCCCGCAACTCGTGTACGGGCTCTCTCTCTCTCTCTCTCTCTCTCACTCTCTTTCTAATAAAATCTTAAAAAAAAAAAAGAAAAAGAGGTGGGAATGTGATTACAATAACATTGACTATATATTAATTTGGAGAGAATTGACGTATTAGTGATATTGAGTCTTCCGATTCATGAGCATATTATAATATCATCTCTCCATTTTTTTAGATCTTCTTAGATTTTTCTCAGCAGTGGTTTTGTAGTATTAAGTAGACAGGTCTTGCACATGTTTTTAGAAATTGATGCTTAAGCATGTTATGGTTTTGATACTATTATAAATGGAGTTTTGTTTCATTTTCCAATTATTTGCTACCATTACTAAAATACAATTGGTTTTTGTATATTGATCTTGTACTCTGCGATCTTGCTAAATTCACTCACTGTTCTAGTTGTTTCATAGATCCATTACGTTTCTCTATATAGGCAGTTGTCACCTGCAAACAGATAGTTTCACTTCTTTTTTGAGATTTATGCCTTTTTTTCTTGCCTTGTTGCACTTGCTTCAACCACCAACATGATGTTGAATACAAGTAGTAAGAGAAGGCATCCTTGATCCTTGACTCCTTCTAGATTTTAGGGGAAAAGCATTCAGTATTTCATCGTTGAGTTAGATATTAGACTGCGGATGCCCATTATCAAATTAAGGAAATTCCTTTCCCTTCCTAATTTTAAAAAAGGTTTTTATCATCAGTGGCTATTGAGTTTTGTCAAATACTTTCCCTGTGTATATATATAAATGATTATTTGACTTTTCTCCTTTATTTTGTTAATATGATAGATTACCATAAGGGATATGATTATCCCTTATTGTCCTGAAATAAACCCAGCTTTGTAATAATGTATTATTGGGCTTTTATATATTGTGAGATTTGATTTGCTAACATTTTATTAAATATTAAGGGATATTGGTCTGTAATTTTATTTTTTGTAATATCTTTTCAGGTTTTGTACTGTTCTCATAAAATGAATCAGGGAGGGGCGCCTGGGTGGCTCAGAGGGTTAAAGCCTCTGCCTTCGGCTCAGGTCATGATCCCAGGGTCCTGGTATCGAGCCCCGCATCGGGCTCTCTGCTCCACGAGGAGCCTGCTTCCTCCTCTCTCTCTGCCTGCCTCTCTGCCTACTTGCAATCTCTGTCTGTCAAATAAATAAATAAAATTTAAAAAAAAAATGAATCAGGGAAATTTTTCTTCTTTATTTTCAGAAAGTTTGTGAAAGATTACTGTTCTTTCTTTCTGAATATTTTGATAGAATTTACCAGTGAAACTATCTGGGCCTGCCGTTTTCTTTGTGAGAAGGTTTTGGTAACTTAATTTCTTTGATAAATACATAGGTATTCAGAGTTTGTGTTTTTATCTTGTGTGAATTTTGATACGTTGTGGGTTTTTTTAGAAATTTTCACATTTCACCTAAATTATTGAATCTATTGACAAAAAGTTGCTCATAATATTCCATTATTATCCTTTTACCATCTAGAATCTGAAATCACCTTTTTCCCCTAACCTTCGTGAATTACAGCTTCTATCTTTTTTTTTTTCTTTTTTCTTTCTTAGTCTATCTAGGGGTTTGGCAATTTTGTTAAATTTTTCAAAGACCCAATTTTTGACTTTGCAGTATACATTATTTTGCTTTTCTTTTTCTAGCTTTTGATGGAACTTTATCTACTTTTTCTTTTTTTAAAGATTTTATTTATTTATTTAAGAGAGAAAGAACACAAGTGGGGGTGGGAGGGAGGGAGAAGGAGAGGGTGAAGCAGACTCCCTGCTAAGCAGGGAGCCTGATGCGGGGCTTGATTCCAGGCAGACAGACTGAGCCACCCAGGCACCCTTAGGCGCCCTTTACCTACCTTTTCCAACCTTTTCCAAGTTAAGCTTTTGAAGCTATAAATTTACTTATTTGCTTCATGAATGTTGAGCTCTGGTGTTAAGAGAATATAAAGTTATTGGTTAGGATTATTTTGCTTTTCTTATGAATTGACCCTTTTATCATTATGAAATGTTC